TGAGACAGGGTCTCACTATGTAGTTGAGACTGACCTGGAACTCACTATGTAGCCCAGGCTGGTCTCAAACTCACAGTGATCCTCCTGCCTCAGCCTCCCAAGTGCTGGTATTACAGGCATGTACCACCATGCCTGACTATTTTTTGACTTTTTGATGGTGCAAAAAACAATATACATTTAGCAGAAACCATACTTTTTGATCTTCTCCCGGGCTAGCAATATGTACCACTATACTCTTGCAATGCTGGATAGTAGCAGGTGGCTGCTGCTCCCAATCAGCCACAGGATCAGGAGGGTAAACAGCTCATTCTCTATGGTGTACTGGGTTGCTAAGCTATGATGTTCAATAGGTGAGGGGTATTCAATGTTCTTTTTTGGGGGGTTATTACTTTTAGTATTATTCTCTGAAAATAATCTTCCTGGTACACAATTTTAAATGTTTTTGACTTACAATATTTTCAATTTATAATGGGTTTACTGGCATGGACACCAATAAAACATGATCTCCATGCTTTACTCCTGCCTATATTTCTAGTGTCATATTTCAGCTTGTCAGACCCACTGTCAGCTGTGCAAAAAACTCCCCATTCTTTATTTTGTTAAATGCTTTCATAAATTGGTGTCCATGTTATTCTGTCTGAAACTCACCATGACCCACCCACACTTAGTAAACATCCATTCATCCTTCATCACATCTTGAATCATAATCACACGGACAACAGAATTCATGAAAAGTCTGAACACAGAATTATGTGGGGTAATTCTAAGTACAAAAAAAACTTAGTTGTGTTATTTGCGCAGTAATTTTTTTATGTACTGTAAAATACAAAATACAAATATATATGACTACTGTTGAGAACTAAGGTTTTACAACAGGAAAATGGAGAGCAGAATACAGAATGAAAGAAAATATGGAACAACTCTGCACTATAGGATTTGAATTGGAGGTATTAATGTGAACTAATTAAAAATAAATAAATAAATAAAGGATCCTCCCTGGTTCTGTTCTCTAAAAAGCAAAGGCAAGAAACAGCAATGAGCAAATCTGTACCCAGACTTCGGTATTTAAATACCACTTTCTACTACACAGGCAGGATTATGACTGGTGGAAAAATAGCTGATTCCAGGTCTGAAGCAAGGAAAATACAAGGTATAGCCTAGACTTTAAAGAAGTGCCAAAAGATTACTGGTAAATAAAAAGGCATAGCCAAAGGACACATTATCAAGTCAGATGGAGCAATTTTAGCATCGACAAAGTTACATATCTTTTAGTATCAAAAAATTATGAAACACATAATTACTACATTTAGAAGAAAAAAGAATTCCAGATAACAAATACAGAAGAAACATTAATTTTTTTCTTTACCTTTTTTGCATTTCCCCATGTAATAAATGATAAAGATTAGAATCCTTAGTGGATGCTAAAAACAGTGAGTAGAAGGTTGTTGTGGAAGGTTCTCAAAGTATGATCCTGCAGATTAAGTGCCATTTATAAAGAGGAAAATATCTTTACAATGAATCTCATTATCACCATCCTAATCAAATGATAAAATGAAGCATCACTAGTAGTGGGGCAGCTTAATATTATTTGTGATGTGGTGTACTGTGAAGTTAATATTAACACATCTTCTATGTAATGCATTTGGTAAAAATGCTTATCCTTTTTGGGGGGCGATACAGGGATTGAACTCAGGACCTTGGGCTTGCAAGGCAGGTGGTGGAACCACTAAACTAAATCCCCGGCCCAAAAATGCTCATCTTGAATCTCACAGGAAATAATCGATAAATTTGAAATGTGAGATATTCTACTAAAGAACTACTCCAGACTCTTAGAAAAAAAAAAAGTTAAGTCACGAAAACCTAAAGCACCAACAGGTCAGACATATGGTAGATTTAAAAAAAGACATATTAAACAAATGAACCATCCTGAATGATAAAAGTAAAACAGAAAACATAAAGCACACTTGGAGGGCAAATAGGAAATTTAAATACGACTACCTACTGTTATATATGTTATATCTCCAGACTCTTAGAAAAAAAAAAAGTTAAGTCACGAAAACCTAAAGCACCAACAGGTCAGACATATGGTAGATTTAAAAAAAGACATATTAAACAAATGAACCATCCTGAATGATAAAAGTAAAACAGAAAACATAAAGCACACTTGGAGGGCAAATAGGAAATTTAAATACGACTACCTACTGTTATATATGTTATATATAAAGAGAGATGCATACCTGCTCTATATCCTTGGCACTGGAGGTCAGGTTTTCTACCATGACTCCGGGCTGCTCATTTTCCCATGGTAATTTGTTTTTTCCTCTTCCTGCACTTAGTACCCTCCGGGTGCAGACAGTTGGGCTGTAAGATCCATACATTTGCATGCTATCCCTCGTGGAGTCACCACAGAGACAGTGTGCGCTCTGATTTCTGTTACCAGCCAAAAGCCAGTCTGTATCTGCTCCACGTACCAAATGGCTTGATCTGCTCTGGGCTGAAGATGGCATGAGTATTGCATATTCCACAAATCCTTTTTCTGTTATCCTTGGTAGGGTTTTTCGAGCCAATCTAGCCTGCACAGCATTCATCACTCCATCTCCATTATCTTGCATTTCAATAGTATCAACAGCTTTAAAAAGGATGTTGGTTTTACCTGAGCCCATGGATGATGCCAACACAGCAAAAGCTTCTAGAGCTGCTTGGCGTACCCTGCGTTTGGTATCTACAAGAGCTGGGGCAAGATCAAAAGACAGTTTGGGTAAATCAAAATCTTCACTAGGATAGGTCAGAAGGGAGCAGATGCAAATGTTCACCACTTCCTCTCTTACCCTGGAATGCTTATGTTTGAGATGTTCTAGGAGTAAACAAAGCACCTGTTGAGGACTTACTTCTTTCATTAGCTTGAGAAAGATTTTCATGTATTCTTGTTTGATTACTAACTTGTTGTCTGCCAGTACTTTGACAGAAGCTGTTATAACTGGTCCCAAGAACTGTTGCACCTGTTCTCCAAGGCGGACAACCAGTAAATGCAGAACCTGAAGTGCGCCATGGACCACTTTGAAATTAGAATCGTCTAACAAATTATACAACAAACTAATGAAACCAACAAGATTGGAATGAGTGGTAGAACTAGGGTTAAATTTCCCCAGCACCTGTTTTAGTTCTTCAACGGCCTGAGTCCGGTTCTTATAGTCTTCCTGATCCAATAATCTTGAATGTAGTTCCTGAGGAATAATCCCAAATTTAAGATTGCTATTGGAAACAGACACCGCACTGGGGACAGGCTCTTCAGGGAATCGAGAGGCTTCGAGTTCCAAATAATAGGGAACCTGACTTCCAAACTGGGACTCCAGGCGGCGATTGTAGAGTCTCCTCAGGACAGACGGCAGGCGAGAGATATAGGAGTGAAACCTCTCTTGGCCGAGCCTCTCCCCAATTTGCTGAAGTGCCGAGAAAGCTGTTTCCGATTGTTCTTCTATCTCCTGGTCACCAAGCTTTCTAGCTAGGGCTATTATCACTTCGGTGAGATCCAGGCCGAGCAACAAATCCTCGGGAGTAAGTAAGATAGGGAGCAGCAGTGCAGTGGAAGCTATAAGATGGGAATCCGTACTTTCCAGACCTTGTTGAATAAGCGCTCTCAGCACCTGTCCAGAGCTGCGTTTCAGACATATATGCAGGATCTGAAGGGCATCTTTTCGCAGGGCTGGATCATCTTCGCGTAAGGAGACAACTAGTTGAGGCAGAAGTCCCAAACTAAAGGCCTCCTCCAGCTGGCCTGCCTCTCCCTGTCCCCGGAGAACGTCCAAAATAAATTGCAAGCATAGTCGTTTCTCATCACTACCTCCTTCCACGAGCACTCGGCCCAGGGCCCGATACAAAGCTTCTTTGCGTCGGGGGAAGCCGAGTCGACCGCCCCGCCGCGGCAAAGCAGCCTGCAAAGCCTGGAAGGCCTCGGAAGGATCTGGCGCGGTGCGCAAGAGCTGAAGGAGCCTGGTCTCTTCATCTCCCCCTGACAAGCCTCCGCCAGGCCCAGACCAGCTACTTGATACTGCCTCCGCAGGTAATAAGAGGGTTGAAGCCAGCGACGAAGGCGTAGAGGGGCAAGAACCATGGTCCCCAGAAACTCCACGGCAGTAGTAGCTTTTCTCTCCCCTCATGATGCTCCCACCTCGACGAACATCAGTCTCCGGGGTGGAAGGGCGACTGCGGCTCTGGGGGCGATAGGCACAAGGGGCTAAAAGCGGCGGCAGCGGGAGCAGCGCTGAAGGAGCAGCAGCCATGGAGGGTCGTCAGGTTCTTCGAGGGAACCATTGCCGTCTCCGAAGGGTTCGACGAAGCCCAGCCTTCCAGCTCTCCTCCAGACCCCCGGATGCGGAAGAGGAAAAGAAACAGCTCCAGTCAGCTGCCAGGCTGCCTCCCCCGGAGGCAGCCTCGGGCAAAATGGCCCCCGCTCAAACCCCAGACCCCACAGCGGCCACCGGGCGTAACCAGGGGCACCACGTGACCAAACCGATCGCTTCCATGGTGATGGACCCAGCTCAGACTTCTTGACCCGGAAATTGCGTTGCCGAAATGAATGTTGGGTCTTGTAGTCTACGTCCGGGGTTAATCCTGATCCAGAGACTCCTGGAAGAGGAAGTCTGAACGTTGGCACGTACTAGAGGGGAGAAGAGGAGGGACGGAGACCGACAGTCGGCGGAAGTGACGCTCCTCACGCTGCGCGCGGAAGTTCCCCGCCCCGCCCGTAAGAGTTGAGGTTTGACCAGAGCAAGTGAGAATCCTGCCAACGTTCCAGTTGTGCACTGCTCCTCCTGCTGTCGGTGCAGGTGTGATTCTTGGGACTCAGGTATTTCCCTTTTGCTATCCTCCGGCGGCTCAGGCTTTTGCAGGGTTTTGCCCCACTGCCCGTGGAGCTAGAGAGAAAGGAATAGATGGGAACAGACAGTGAGGGAGGTGACATCTTCTGCACCGTTGGTTATCGTTGAAAACATGTTATTCTCTTCAACCCTGAGCAAGTGCGATCCTTTCCTTCTGCAGTCCGCTTATCGGTATTGGTGACCCCGACCTAGGCCAAGCTTATAGACATAGACCGGGTACTTTTTTTGTTTTTTCTCCTCTTTCAATTCCTAGAGCTTTGGGACTTTGTTTACCTCGCCTTCTCCCCTCCTCGTACGTCTCTTAACCCGCTGCCTGTGAAGGGATTCACGGTTTTGTCACTTCTTACCCGCATCACTGTAAATTCTCTCGACAATGCACATGGAGATCTGCACGTGATCTGTTTCCTCTGTTGTTACCCGCCTCGCCCCAAACGAACTGAGAGTCTCCCCTTGTCATGCAGTTCCGCTGTGGGATTCCCCCGGCCCTCCCTCCACCGCCCCAGCCTCTGAGCAGCCTTTCAGTCTCCTGGAAACAAAGATTGCAAAGACAATCCGTTGCGGTGGGAATTCTTGGCATCACTACCCCGCGAGAATTCTGCCCTGTGGATTTAGAGTTGATAGATATTTCTTTCTTTTAGGCGAACTGAGAATTTAGTGGGAATTCTTTCTCATAAATAAAAGGTAAGCGGATTTAATGGAAGAACTAGAGTAGCTTGTGTGAGGCTGAATGGTTTGGTGGTTTTTGTTTGTTTGTTTGTTTTGTTTAGTTTTTTAAAGAGTAATAGTTACTTTTTAATGACCGAATGAGAAATGTCTAAGTTATAATTTGAAATGCCAATATTGTCCACTTCAAATCTGAGTATTCCTGTTCCTCTGTGCCAGGTAGGGTGCCTCCCAAATATTTTTAAATTCTTGAGATACTTGAATCATATAGCCAAACCATTTTATAAAATTTCTGGCTGATACAAGTTCAAAGATGACTTCTAAATTTTGCATTACATCACAGTTTGAATAGCATAGGGTAGAGTATTAGCTGTTAGTGAGGCTGTGTAAATCTGTTACATTTTGTTTTAAATTCTGCGTTAAATTTTTTATTCATTTTTGTGTATAAATAAATCTGTCTAAATCGGCTTAGCTAGCACATTTCATTATGCCAAAAAAATACTAAAAACACCCTTTTTCCATTTTTAGGACCAGGGTGAGGCCTGGGGAGTAAAAACTAAGAAGTAATTATAGCAGTTGTCAGTGAAAAAGGTCCTCTTGCGTCACCTAAGAAGCACAGATGTGTACCTTTCCCCATGTATGCTCAGACTCAGGAACCCAGTCCAGTAGAAAGGAAATGAGAATGATGAACACATTAGAATACACACATTAAAATGCCAGTTTATGTTGCAATAGAAGATAATGCTTTCCACTGAACAGAATTTTCAAGTTGAAAATTCAGTGTATCTTTCCTGTATCAAAGTATTTACTTAGGAAGTTAATAACAAGAGCTTGCATGTAATTAGAGTCAAAGAAAAGGAACTTGGAATGTATTGAATGATATTTCATTAACAGTTATGGTGATGCTTAAGAATTACTCCTTCTCTCTGTATACTTTTCAAGAGACCCGAATACTGAAATGAAGCAGTGAGTCTTTTTCTGGGAACAAAGTAAAATGAGTGTTCCTTTTGACTTTTTTGGGGGGGTTCCTATAGATTGCTATTGTTATAATTGCATTTTGTCTCCTTGATGAAGTCTTGAAAAATCAGTAGTATCCATGGTGAATATTTAGGAAATGAGCCTTCTTTGCTATCACATGTCTTACTAATTATCTTCTATGGTCATCTGGTGAAGTATAAATCTCATCCACTTAGTGTATACAGTATTCTGTTTATATCTATTACAAATACCAAGGTTTTAAAAAAATGACATTTTTATTCTTGATTCTAGGAGTCCTTTGTGTATTAACTAGAAAAGCCTTTATATTTAATCATAGATACAGACAATTAACAGATTTTTAATCAAATTCCAGAATAATGTAATACACTTTTAGTTGTATTAATAGAAAGGAAGTAGTTGAGGATACATTAGAAATTGCATATTTGTGTAAAAAGTAAAAATTTTAATGATTTCAAAATAATTTAGTTAAATTAATGGAATACAGGATTATGTATGTTACATGCCCTAATTTTTTGAGCTGAATTTAAGCAGAGTACACATACACACAATTGCTGTAGAGACATCCTTTATTTCCACTGTCAGAGATAATAAATTTGTTGGATGAATCGTTATACTTTTTCTGTACCAGCATCTAAGAGTATTGGAAACCATTGTAAATTTCATAAACTCTGAAAAAAAACAAAAACCTATAAACAGTGGGACATCTGCACACAAAAAAATTTCATAAACTCTGAAGAGTAGTTATAGTTTAAGAAGTTATTGTGAAGTGGTGCTATGCACATGAAAGGTGCTATCAATATTAAATAATTATAATACCATTTATTGTGTTTGCTTTAGGCCACATTCTGTGCTACATACTTAATGAACATAAATTTAAGCATAATATTTGGGAAGTTACATATTCTGCATTTGACTTTATGGGTAGATTTTATGGGTATTTCCACTGGAGAACAATCAGAGGAAAGTAAAACTCAAATAAATCAATTTAGCTATCTGCTAAAGCTTTAGGAGACTGGTGAGGAAGTGGTTGTTGAAACTATAGGATATAGTTAGATCTTTCCATTTAATCATTTGTATTTTTTCTATGTATTATTCGTTATATATGTTAATCTTTTTTGGTTTCTATTCTGAATCTTATTTGCTTGAGTCAAAACATTAATATGGTTAAATAATTGTGAGCTTAGTTTTATAGCTATGGGATTAAATGTCTTCATATATGTTCCAAACATTTCTACCCTGAAAGCTATAAAAATCTAATTTTTTTTTTTTTTTTTTTTTTTTTTTGGGGGG